CATAGCAACTGCTGCCTCTGCTGCTAAGTCTACCTTAAATCCTTGAAGAAAACAAGCAAAATGCACTACAGAGGTCTATCCAAGAGAAAGTAAGGACTAAGAGGCAGGGGCCCCAGGTAGGTTTGCTCCTGTCCCAATGATAAGAACCATTCCCAGGAGCATTAATTCTTCCAATACCTCTGGACTGACTAACATCTGGCTGAGGAGGAATCTCTGTTTTTGGAAAAGCCCCACAGAAGAGAAACTGAGCAGTTATCTCAGGCCTACATTTATTTCCATTGGAGACTAGTCTATCTTAAAAGACTCCATTGTGAAGAATCATGTGATTGTGAGTTTTCTTGTTTCCCCTAGTACATAGCAAAAAATGTGTACACCTATTTAGAAGCATCAGCATAGCAGCTGAACATACCAGGTTTTTTAAAGAGACAACTGAACAGGTTGAAAAAGTCTAGACCTATAAAGAAGGTGATTCAGTCCACGTTTAGCTTCTAGAAGCCCTGGCTGAGTGAGTGTGGGCCAGATAGACTCCACTCATAGAATTGAAGTGATTTGTGAAATACAGACATACAACCTTGGAGACTGACAATAAGTTTTTTTCTACTGTCCCTGTGACTACTTTGCATTGCCAGACTCAAATCCACCCCTTATACAAAGCAATGGAGAAATAAACACCTATCTTGGAGATAATAAATCAGTGAGACAAACTTCCTTTCCTAAATAGCATATGTGATTAATAATTCACACATTAAACTCTGTCAGTAGTCAGTCACAAGGGCAAAAATGGAAAGTGACTATATATTCAATTCTAAACAAATAACTGAGAAGTCTCCATACTATTTTCTTTTCATGACCAGAGGTCCCATTAAGTGGCACAGGTATTACATGTTTTACTTGGCTCAAAGTTCAATACTGTTTCTAACTGGGGCTGGTTTTTGTTTTTCCATTAGTAGACTAACTAGAAAGTGAACCTGCCCAAGCCCCTTTAGGCTAAATTCTACTCTGCCACACCTTCGGGTTTGTCACGTTTTTCTTTCTGATGGAAATTCTAATTATTCTGAATCTGTGAGCTTCTAAACTTGGTTCATAAGCCCCAAACATTAGCATAACCTTCAAACTTGTTAGAAATACAAACTTTGCCCACTCTCTAGACTTAAATTTGAAACTCGAGGGTCAGAGATAGCAATCTGTGTTTTATCCAGCCTTGTAGCAGATTCTGAAGAAAACCATCACTACAACTAGATGTTAATGAAGGGCTCAGTCATGCTACACAGGCAAGATACAACAGTCTTTCCTTCCACTTTCTGAGGCTTCAGTTGCATGTGGTAAATCTCAGTCCAAAAATATTAAATGGGAAGCTCCAGAAGTAAACAAGTTATTAGGTTTCAATTGCACAGTCCTGAATAGAATGATAAATGTTTGCAGTATCCTGCTCCATCTGGGCTGGGATATGAACCATCCCTTTGTCCAGAGTAATTCACTGCATAAACTACCTACCACTAGTCACCTAGTCATCCACTGGTCATCTTGGCTAGCAGATAGAATTTTGAGATACTGCTATATATATATATATATATATATATATATATATATATATATATATATATGCATATACTCTCTTTTATAATACATGCTGAGGTTGTAAGGATCTACCACTGATAAGCTCTTCCTGTGCTGAACTGAAAAACTTCAATATAGAAAAGTGTATGTAGGGAAAAAGCAGAGTATCCAGGGCTCAGTACTACTCACAGCTTCAGGAATCCACTGGGGGATCTTGAAATATGTCCCACAGATAAGTAGGCCTAGGGTCCTAGACCGCAAGAGTAGACACAGAGGAAAGGCCAAATTCCCATCCTCATGGTCTTATTTCCTAGTGGGTGTATTTGGGAAGAATATTTGTGTGTTGGGTATGCACAAACTTTCACTAAAATTGATAAAGACTGATCTAGAATCCTTCAGAGATACTGAAATCCAAGACTATTTCAGAGATCAGATGGTAGTAATTTAGGAATTTAGATTTAAAGTATGGACTCTGTTGAGGCTCTGAAAACCCCACAGGACAGTGGCTAAAATTTTAATTGTCAGGATCAGTTCTGTGGCTCTCAAGTGATCTGTGGTTTCACATGAGAAACCCACAGCTGTAGCTATAGAGGAAAGCTTGAATGTCTGGAAACAGCAGGCAGAGGTAAGCAGAACCACAATAATTCTAGAAATGATCCTAAGAAACCACAGAAAAGGAAAATGCATTACTTGGCTGGGAATTTATTGAATGTTTAAAATCAAGAAATAGACAGGAAAGAGAAAGTGATCTCCTTGGTCTTATTTCCACAAAGAAATGGCAGTTAGAGACTACATATTCATTTCCCAATACAATTGGCTAATCACAGATCATACCAGAGGAGTTTATTTCAGGACGTGTCATTATTTCATTTTCATTTTTGATTTTGTTTTTAACCTCTACAGATTTCAAAAACTTGAATTGTTTTGTATGCAAATGTGTGAGTGTGAGTGTGTGTGCTGCAACATTTTTTTAACTGCATGCTTTACAAGAGAAATGGAGAAAACCAAATTTCCAACTCTACTTCTTGATTGTTGCTAACAAACTGTTACCTGGGAGATGGGTGGCAACAAGTAAACAATGATTATTATGCAAAACATGTTTAATTTGTGTTTAACATATCCTTGTTGGGGTCCCTATCCTAAAGATTCCTTTTCCATCTGGGTTGGTTCCATATCTTAGCTATGGTAAATAATGTTGTAATAAACATAGTTGTGCTAGTAGCTTCAGTAGGGTCTTGTTTGTGATCATTTGGGTAAATGCCCAAATTGCTTGGTCATAGGGGAGCTCTATGTGGAGTCTTTTGAGGAACCTTCATACTACTTTCCAAAGTGGTTGAACAAGTTTACACTCCCACCAACAATGCAGTAAGGTTCCCTTCTGTCCACATCCCCTCCAGCATCTATTGTTATTAGAGTTCTTGATTATAACCATTCTAACTGGGGTGAGGTGGTATCTCAATGCTGTTTTGATTTGCATTTGTTTTATGACTGGGAGGTTGAGCATTTCTTCATGTGTCTATTGATCATCCTTCTTTCCTCTTCAGAGAAGTTTCTCTTTAAGTCTTTAGCCCACTTATGTATTGAAGAGTTGTTGTTGGGGTATTTAATTTTTTGAATTCCAGGTATATTTTAGATATGAGACCCTAGTCCATTGTATGGCTAGTGTATGGGCTTTCTACTGACCCTCAGTAGATGAATGGATCAAGAAAATGTGGTATATATACACAATGAAATTCTATGCCTCCATCAGAAAGAATGACATTGCCCCATTTGTTAGGAAATGGAAAAATTGGGAAAAAATTATATTAAGTGAAGTCAGCCAGGCCCAAAGAAACATAGGTCCCATGGTTTCCCTTATTTGCAGTAACTAGTATATGTCTGAGACAAGCAAAAATGGTCAGATAAGTTGATGCTAGGCAAAATGAACCCCAAGATAAAGATTCAATTTTTTTTCTTTCTTACAATTGTTTCTGATATATTTATAAGATGATTTCTTTGTTGCTTTATATGTCCCTCCCCCATGGTATAACCCCTGTTTTCACTGTATTTGATGTTGGTATAATTTATGGAGGGGAAGGGAAAAACAAATTGTTTAAATAGGGATACAGGTGGACTCATTGCAACAATGAGATGTACAAGTCGTTATGTCGAAAAATGAACTTTACAACTTTGGGAGGGGTGAAGGGGAAACAAAGGAAGAGGCAACAATGCTTGATAAGAAATGTACTCATTGGGGCTGGGAAGGTGGCTCAGTGGTAGAGTGCTTGCCTTGCATGCATGAGGCCCTTGGTTCAATTCCTCAGCACCACATAAGCAAAAAGAAAAAGAGCCGAAAGTGGTGCTGTGGCTCAAGTGGTAGAGTGTTCTCCTTGAACTGAAGAGCTGAGGGACAGTGCCCAAGTCCAGAGTTCAGGCCCCACAACTGGACAGGACACACACCCCCTCCCCAAAAAAAAAGAAATGTATTCATTACCTTGCCCATGTAATTGTAACCTCTCTGTATGGTATTTTCACAATTAAAAAAAAAAAGAATATGTTGGTTTAGAGGGAGGGAGAGGGAAGGAAGATTCCTTTTCCAATTATGTAATAGCCTTTGAGAGCTCCTTCCAGTGGTAGGTGCTAGGAACTTGCAAACAGCAGGACATTTCAAAGTTCATGAGATGTAATCAGGGGTGCAGCATAGTGGTAGAATGTATGCTTTATCTTCCCAAAGCCTTTGTTAGGTTCCATCCCCAGAGCTACAAAAAACTGGAAGTTTAAGATTCCTCTTCTTTCCTTCTTTCCTTCCTTCCTTCCTTCTTTCCTTCCTTCCTTCCTTCTTTCCTTCCTTCCTTCCTTCCTTTTCTTCCTTCCTTCCCCTTTCCTTTTTTATTTCTTTCTCTTTTTTATTTTATGGAGGATCTGGTTATATTGCCTAGGCTTCCCTCAAACTCCTCAACTCAAGCCATCCTCCTAAGTCAGCCTCCAGAGCAGCTGGAACTACAGGTATGTGCCACTATACCCAGCTCCTTTTTCTTAATGACAGAAATCTATCAGAGGAGTGTCACTTTAGATAAATTTTAGTATAATACTTGAAAAGTCATTAGATTCTTTGTTGTTTTTTCCCATTCAGACAGGGACTTAATTTGAATCCCAGGCTGTCCTCAAACTCACAATACTTCTGCCCTAGCCTTCCAGAGTGCCAGGATTATAGCCATGTATATGCCAGCTATAAATTATCCTTCAAAATTCTTATCAGCATGTAATACACTATAAATAATTTATAGTCACTACTAAAGGGGAAATGCTTAATATTTTATGTACAGACAAAATTCTTCAGTTATGAATTATCCATTCTATGAAAAGTAAAAGAAATATATATGTATTTGAAGTTTTATAATATATTCATCTTTTCAAAACAAGCATATTATTTCCAAGAGAAACACCAAAATTAGGAGAAAGCTTTAATTTTCCAACATTAGCTTCTTGAGTGTCACTGTTTACACTGTGTCCCATCTACCCAGCCACGTGAGATCCCACCTCTCCATGTAGCCCTTGGCTCCTCCATTCCTCTTCCAGATGGACTTCTCTACCTCTTGCTGCATACTCTCTGTTTGGCTTATTTGTTAGTGCTGGCAATGGAGCCCAGGGCCTGGCATGCTTTGCAAACCCTGCCAAAAAGTTGGAAAAAAAAACTGGGCTTGGTGCTCCTTTCCCCTCCCTTAATTCCCTTCCTCTCCCTTCATTTCTCTTCCCCCCTCTTCCCTCTCCTCTCATATATGCTCTGGCCAAGCATTTTTCACCCCACACTCACTGACATGGCTCTTATCAAAGGCATTGGCTATTTTCATCTGACCAAATACAGAACAGTGGTCCCTCCTGGGCTCTCACTTCTTATGTGGTATTTGTTTCTACTTTTCACCAGACTTCTTTTCTAATAAAATACCACAAACATCACAGAGCTAAGCCTGAACTCTGGATTTGCTCCCAACTCTGCTTCTCTTGCTTAGTGGAGTTCTTCATAACTCCTTTCCCTTTTCCTCCCACACACCATCCAGTGGCAACCTAGTAACTTCACTAATAACTTTTTTTTTTTTGTCAGTCATGGGCTTGAACTCTGGGCCATAGCACTGTCCCTCAGCTCTTCAGCTCAAGGCTAGCACTCTACCACTTGAGCTACAGCGCCACTTCCAGTTTTCTGGTGGTTTATTGGAGATTGCCTGGGCTGGCTTTGAACCATGATCCTCAGATCTCAGTCTCCTGAGTAGCTGGATTACAGGCCTGAGCCACCAGCACCCAGCAAGAATAACTTCTCAGCCTATCTCAGGATTCTTTGTGGGCTAGCTCTTCATTCAGACAGATGCCATCTTCTCATCTCCCCTTACAGCCATGCAAGTAGTCAAGCCCTACCTCACAAGCACTTTTGGCCCTCAGCACCACAGTGCCCTGTCCCCTGTGCCCAGGTTCCCTCCATAGATCTGCAGCTGCCCAGTATTTATTCCTCTTCCTTTACTGCTGGCTCCCTTCCCTCATGGGCCTGGTATACTGTCATTTCCTGTCTATTTGTCTGACCACTGGACCAGAAGGTCCCTTCATACCACCTCACTGCTCTTTGCCATAAGTGCCACAGCACCTTGCCATCTTCTATCCTCTCAGTGACTTCTATCTGGATTAATTCCCCTATCAGAACACAAGCTCTGCAAAACCAGGAGCTCATCTTTATTCCTCACTAATTTGGGTAATAGGTGCTTACCTCATAACATTCAATGAGCTCATGAAAGAATGATGGAGCTAATGAAGTATCCAGCTTATAACCATGGCTGCAGTTGGAGGGCTCCTCCAGAACCTCTCTTCCCTGCATCTTAGGGTGCTTTCAATTCTGCACACTAAGGAACCTCTTCTTCTGATAGTCTTCAGCCCCCAACTCATGAAGTGCCTTAGAGGGAATCTCTGGTTCTAGATCCTGAGATGAGCAAAAAAGAGGAGAGCAGGTGGGTTGATAAGGGTGTTAGCAGACCAACATAATGACTCTTATTAGTCCAGGAAGGAGATAGTTAACACTTTATGGGTTGCGGAAGAGGGCAGAGATTCAAAAGCCATAATAGTAATAGTGGAAAGATATAGTATAGGTGGATGGGAAGCATATTCATTAGCATAAGCTGCTTTAACATACTAGCACAAGTTGCTGTAACAAAACACCACAGTCCAGGTGTTTTAAATACACATTTATTTCCTTACAATTCTGAAGGTTGGAAGTCTGAGACCAAGATATCATATGGGATGATTTCTCCTGAGACCTCTCTGTTTGGCTTGTTGATGGGATCATTTTGTCCTCATATGGACTTTTACATTGTGTTTATACATCCCTAGTGCCCATCTCTTTTCTTATAAAAACATCTGTCCTGTTGGATCAAGGCCCAGGCTTATGATGTCATTTGATCTTTATTATCAGATAATTATAGTCCCTATCTCCAAATATAATCACATTGTTCAGCCCAGTTTAGTTCATACAGAAAGGAAAGATCAGATGGGAAGCTTCAATAGTAACTTTCCAAATTATATAAACTACAAATGTTTTACTTATTTTGCATATTTATATTATATACCCCACCCACAATCATTTAGAAGGGTAGGTAAGCCTTCTGTCAGTCAAAGACCAGATCCATTGGTTGGTCTGGGGACAGAATTCTTTAATATTCCAATGCATATGAATTTAGTTGTATCAGTCACGGTTGCCAGCGTTAAACAACAGAAACCTTTCTCTAATCCCCATTCCTTCTTGAAAGAGTTTAGGAAGAGTTAAAAACCTATTGGCCTACAGCAGCACCAACATGAAAATCAAGCATGTGCCTAGCAAGATGAGCAAGAAGACTGGAGCCAATGCCTGGCAGCTGCCTGACAATGATATCACTGCCCACTTTGCCGCCTCTTCCTCATGGCTCATCACACAGGCTTCTATCCTTCACACTACACCAAAGCCACTCCTGTCCAAGAAGCTACTTACCTTCTCTACCCTTGACCTCTCAGAGCATAGAAGGATCACACTTATTTCTCAAAGCAACATTACTTTAGAAATCAGACTTCTATTTTCTGGCTCCTTCTTTTAATTCATCTTACTAATTCATCCTCCCTCCACCAACTTTTCAGTGTTTATAATCCCTTTCAAGACTGACTTTGAAGATTAATTTTGTAGCTCTAGCTCTAGATCTTTCCCAGGACCTCTAGATTTCCATGCCCAGCTCAACACCTCTGGTGAGAAATTTTAAAACATATTAAATTTAACACTTTCAAAGTAGTTTCCCCCAAGATTACTCTACCAGTCTTGTCCATTTCAATAACTGGCACTAACTTGACCTAGTTGCTTAATTTACTAATAGTCACTAATACATATATACTTTCATAGAGACAAGATTTTGTTCCAATGTATATGTATGAATTCTTTTTTATGTTACTATAACAAAATACTCAAGGCTGAGCACTTTCTAAAAAGATGCTTAATGGGCTCACAGTTTTGGAGGTTCAAGGACATGAAAACATTATTGTCTCTACCTTAATGAGGGACTTACACGGTTCCATCATAGTGGCAGTCTGGTAAGATGGAGAGATCATATGGAGAGACAGGAAGCCAAAGAGAATCCAAGGGTTCAAACTTTCCTTCATATAACTCATTCTTGGGAGAGGCAACACACAGTCTCATTAGAACTACTAATCCTTTCTGAGGGTACCACCTCCAAGGACCTACCCAGTTCTTACTATGCCCTGCCTCAAAGATCCCACCTCTTCTCTACATTCACACTTTTGAGAAACAAGCCTCCACCACAAAAATCTTTGGAGGACACACAGAAACCATGTTTAAACTATAGTGTGTGTCTATAGACACATAATTTTTTCAATACCCCATTGAAAAGGTCCCAGTACCATCTTCTTTTTACAAATGAACATTAGCAAATTAAATAACATCCAAGTTCACACAGTGAGCAAGGAACAGGTAAGCTTTGAAGGAATGTATACTAGCTCCAAAGCCTGCTTCTATGCTTTACACCATAGTATTTCAATTTTCTTCACCATTCATGTACACATTCCATCAGTAAGTCCCCAGGTGTTCCTCTGCAATCACTTTTCATCTGCCCTATGTCCACTCTGCTGAGCCAGGATCACTGTATACCTAGGTCACTATAATCATACCTAATCCTATGATGCTGCTCCCCTGCCTACCACTTTCAATGTTTCCCTACCATTTCATAATTCCTCCAAATACTTCACCACTCAGCCCGAGGTATGACATGACCCTCACTTTCTTTGCCACATGGATTGCTTTGCTCTTCTACAATTAAGCACATTTGTCTTCGTGGACTTGGTACTTCCTGTCAATCTGTGCTTAGAACCCTCTCATCCTGGAAATCTTCACAATACATTCCATTCAGGTCTCTTCTTGCCCAGTTCCCCCAAATCCTTCATGAAAAATAGGCCTCCATTCTCATCTGGTCCATCTTCATCTCCTTGATTCATTTTTAAATTTTCAAGATTAAATGAATCAGCATTGTGTATTGTGGTAAATAAGTGGTTGTTAACTATTGCTGTCTTCATAGAATATGGGTACCATGTGGAAAAGAAAGAACTTTGCCGTGTTTATGGGTTTATTACTATTCTAAAACTGTTTTAAGTATATAATTAAAACTCAAATATTTATTACGTACATGCATGCATGAATGAATGAGGAACTCAGGAAACCTGCTTTGAATTTCAGGTTTCATATTTCTCTGTTGGGCTTCCTTATCATGTCGATTTATTAGGAAAGATTCTTAGGCATACTGAAGGAAAATACTCAGTGCTTACAAGCTGTGCCCCTGACAGTTCCAGTCAGATATCTGCTTCTTATCCTTGTTCACGCCTAAATAATTTTCCCTCCTAGACAGATGCATTATCCCTTCTTGGTCTTCAAACTTATCACAGGATAAACTAAAAGCACAAGCACAGAATTACAAGGTAACTATGGGCCACGCAGGGCTTTGCAGTACTCCCAACTATGTTTTCTGTCATCTCCTTTTAGCCATGAGAAGCACTCTCTGAAAGAGGCTACATTCACAAGACAGTCAAAGGCATATAACATTTACCATGAACATGCTTCCTTTGCCTGGGATGTTGGTGGCCATCTCTCAGTGAAGGGCGAGGGGGCCTGTGGTTCAGTTTCATAAGCAATCCTGGGTCTGGGTAAACATGCTTGACTGATTAATGATAACAGCTCTTAAAACACCACAGACATTTCCAGAGCCCAGAAGTGTTTATTTTTTATACTAAATTAAATTCATTTTCCCTCTCATTCCCTTTAAGGGGAATGGTGACAAATTTAAATTCAGAGTGGACTGCTCCATTGAAGATGGCCATATGCCACAACCTCTAAATAGGCTATGGTTTAGGTATATGTTTCATTATGAGGGGGATGGGAGGCAGGGGAGTTAGCACTGAAAAGAAGAAAGGAAGTTTTGGATGGGCTCTGGGCTGCTGAAGGATTAGCACTGAACCCTCTGCCTGGCACATGACAGGAACAAGAAATACCTTGTATTTCCCAAATACAGTAATAAGCAAAATCAAGAATAGGCCATTGTATCATAGTTCATAGTTCGTACTTACTTTTAATATAATAGATGCAAATACTAATAAGGGCATTTACTTTGTGCCAAGTACCACAAAGGTGAGAGGTAGAAACAGTATGGCCTCTGGGTACATCAAAAAACTGAAACTTAGGTTAGTTAGTTTTCCAAGTGTAATGCAGGGCAGAACTAGGGACTAAACAGTAGCTGCTGATTCCAAAACCCTTTTTCCATCTCTTATGGAATATCTATCTATACTGCTCTAATCATGAGGGCAACAAGAGGCATCAATTTCGTGGCCATATTTGTGCTAATAAATTATCTCTCAACAAGACTGTACTAGATCAGGTAGTCATAGCACCCTAACCAGTATGTTTTCCCCCATGTTGCCATGACTCTTATCATTCCTAGCAGCTCTATGTAATCCTGTGAGAAAAGAATCTTTCTTCAATGGACTGGGGTCCTTGGAGTCCAAGGACCACAACATCAAGAGTGCCCATTGAATGATAAGCTTTTCAGGAAGTTGTGAATGTAATGGTAAAACATGGAGCTGAAATAAGCAATTGTTTTTTGTGGTAGTGTTGTTGTTGTGTGTATGCCAGTACTAGGGCTTTAATTGAGGAGCTTGCACTCTCACTTGGCCTTTTCACTCAAAGCTGGTGCTCTAGCACTTGAACCACATCTCTACTTCCAGCATTTTATTGGTTAATTGGAGAAAAAGAATGTCTTGCAAACTTTCCTGCTTGGGCTGGCTTTGAACTGTAATCTTCAGATATCAGCATCCTGAGTAGCTCAGATTATAGGTTTTAGCCACCAGTGCCTAGCTAAACAAAATGTTGTAAATTTACTTCATAGGACAATTATATATTTCTTTTACCAATATTTAAAATGTTTTCCTCATGAATGAATTTCAAAGACACATATGGTTACATGGAAAACATAAAGACACAGCACAGTTATAGGCTGTGATTTAAATTTGACTTGCTATTGAGGAAAGGCCCTGACATATATGGTGGCAATTCTTGACAATAATTTTGACCTTTTTTCTATATGGAATCACAGATACATAATTCCTTCACTTCATAAAGTGGACATCTTTCCTACATATGTTGAATGTGAAAGTTCAATGGTATGGTATTTATTGATTTATGATTCAGAAGGTATTTGTTATAAGCTTACTTGTGTCAGGAACTATGCTAGGTTTAAGATAGGTCAGCAAAACACTCTTCTGCCTTTGTTTGGCTTAGTTCTCAGGGTTGAGAATATAGACATAAGTGTAGAAAACATTCTTGTATATAGTTACTGCCTAAATGCCAGAAAAAATGCTATAAGAGTGTATGCCAGGATATAGAGTATAGTGATTTGGAGCAACCTGGTCTCCTCTGAAACAACGAAAGTAAAAAGTTTGCTCCAATGAGAGTGTATGCCAGGATATAGAGTATAGTGATTTGGAGCAACCTGGTCTCCTCTGAAACAACGAAAGTAAAAAGTTTGCTCCAATGAGCTAGTAAGTGGAATTTCATGATAAACAAGCAAAATTATTGGAACTAATGTTTTGTTCTTTATTTATAGGCAAATGAAATACACAAGAAATGAAAAGAAATAACAAAACTACAAACTTTAAAAAAAAACTTTTTTTTTACAATGCTGCGGACTAACCTCAGGGCCCTGTGCATATCAACTATGCATTCTAGCACTGAGTCACACCCACAATTCATGTTCTAAGTTTTCTGAAGCAAAGTCTCTGATAGCAATGAATTTACTGTAAATGGCCATTTTCCCTGCTATCTCAGAATGTCAAATTACCATTTCTTCTTCAAAGAACCCAACCACCATGAAGATTTTGTGTATTCTTAAGGATGAATATACTCTGGACCTTCTTAATTGTTTTCTCATAAGTGTACCACTTTCTAATCTATCTCATAGATCTTTTTTATTATGACTTTTCCATTTGGAACACCTGGCTCTGGTCAGTAATAACTGAAGTGACCAAAGAGAGGAAAGAACATCATCTTAGATTCCTTCTCAGGTATCTAAGATGATGCTTCCAGAATTCTCATATGAAAGCACCTGATGGTATGGGTGAACTTGGCTATTACTGGACAGTGAAGTCCATGGCCTTCCAGGCTTTTGTTTACCCAGTCACAGTCTCCAAAAAGCCCAAGGGACAGAATAGTGAGTGTCTAACCACCAAAACCCTGCTCACCCTTCTAAATCTTAATATAAAAATGTAGGAGCTGGGCACTGGTGGCTCATGCCTGTAATTCTAGCTACTCAGGAGGCTGAGATCTGAGGATCGTGGTTCAAAGCTAGACCGGGCCCCAAAGGTCATGAGACTCTTATCTCCAATAAAACCACTAGAAAACTTGAAGTGGCACTGTGGCTCAAGCAGTAGAGCACTTGCCTTGAACTGAAGAGCACAGGGACAGCACTTAAGCCCAGAGTTCAAGCTCTATGACTGACCAAAAAAAAAAATTAGAATCACTATACTCAGTGGAAGAACACTTGCTTAGTATGTGTGAGGTTATTGGATTAATACTCAACATCAAACAGATGCACAAATTAGGACCTCCATATTTATAATGACCCTGATTTAATAAACAACTATAAAATGTCAGAGGCTTTATATCAATAAAGATTTTTTTCTCTCACTCTTGATACATCCATCATACCTGTGACTTCATCTCATATATTCTATATCCCAGAACCTAGGTTGAATAAGAGGCCTTTTTCTGGAAAATTGAGATGCCTTGAAAGAGGGGAAATGATGCCTTGGTTCACTTCTTTCCTATTACATTGTCTAAACAAGCCTACATTCAAAGCTGACATCAAGAAGATTCAGAGAGAAAACCCAGTCAGAGCAGCAGTAATTATTTCTCTAACAATTTTATCCATCATAATGTGCCAGAACAATGTGGTTATTAATGCAATCTACAAAGTATGCTACACAGACAAGTTTTACTAAAACCATGGTCATGTCAATCAGCTTATTCTCAGTCTTGACTTTTTCATCAATAAAATCAGAGATTTGGTCTACAGTATATCAGTCTCTTCCAGCTATAACTTGGGGACTGAAGCTTTGTGTTGTGGTTATTTATTTTGGAATCTTATCGTAAGGCCAAGTGCCAGTTTCATTTCTACATTTCCCAGAAACCTTACCAAGTATGGCACTTAGACACATTTGTTGAATACATAAGTTAAATCCTATGAATAACTTAGACTTTAATGTGAATTCATTGGATAATTTCTTGGAAGCAGGTAAGATAGATGGTATGTGCTAACAAAAACTGAGAAGTAAGGACATAGACATGAAGAAGAAAGAAGAAAAGAAGATGAGAGAGAAAGGCCTTAGATTGTAGCAGAAGCAAGTAGGAGAAAGATGGGGAGGATTTCCCTAAGTCATTTTTTCTCAGGTCTACCCTGTGATAATATACTCTGATCCTGCTCAATTCCTTGTGGTTCCAATTTACATTACCCAAGAAAGTAAAGCCATGTATATTTTGAAACTATGCAAATGGATTAAAAGGCTTTTCAATTGCCATATTCTTTGTTCTGTGTAGAGAAACTGGGAAAGGAACATGCTCACAAATTGTTGGAATTCAATTATAGGAAATGCTGCAGTTCTGTACAAAAATGAAATCTCTGATTTTACTGTGAAAAGGAAATGATATCTTTTCTGACCTAAAAATAAGTTGTTTTGCCAAGAAAATACTGTTAACCAGAAGAAACCAGCTAAAAGGAAATATACAATGACTGCTTTTGTTTCCATTCATTCTATAAGCATTTAAAAATCCAAATCTCTTGTTAATGGCACACAGCATAGTTTTTAAAATAATTACAAAGCACAATTTGAATTTTATATTTAATATTTAGTTGAAGCGACAGATCCGTATCTTCGTTTCCACACCATTTCTTTTGTCTACACATTGTGATTGTAGCTTAGAGATTACTTGTGAGCAAGCCTTCCTTCCTTCCTTCCTTCCGTCCTTCCTTCCTTCCTTCCTTCCTGACTTCTATTCTTCCTTACTTCTTTCTTTCCTTCCTTGCACCAGTATTGGGATTTTAACTCAAGGCCTTGGATTTTTTGTTCAATACTGGTGCTCTGCCACTTAAGCCACACTTCCACTTCTGACTTTTTAATGGTTAATTGGAGATAAAAAGTCTCCTGGACTTATTTCTGCCTGTGCTCACTTTGAACTATGTTCCTCAGATCTTGGTTTCCTGAGTAGCTAAGATTATATGCATAAGTTACCAGCACCTGGCTTCAGAGTTTTGTTTTTTTTCTTACCTCATAGTAACTACTCAATTATTTCATGTCTTGGTTGTAAGAATAATCAAAATGTGTACAATTGCTTTTGATTTACCAGTACAATATGAAGGGGATCAACAAATGTAGCCTAGTTTTAAAACAATCAGGCCTATGATACAGATAAATTGCATCCCAAATGACAATAACCAGGGCTTCTGTTCTGCAAATGGAAAGACCAAAACCTTTTCTTTCTCCCTTTCTCTGTTAACCAACTTCAACATAATGAAACAAGAAATCCCAAAGGCCACAGCAGTGAGGATCTAAGAAGCAGAAAGCAAGTCAGAGAATGAGAAAGAGGAGTCATTATAAGCACAGGGTCCCAAAGGCTCATTATAGTTTTCTTTCATTTTCGATTTTCAAGTACCATCTTTAGACTAGTAATTTGAACATTCCAGAGAAATACAATCAAGTAAGGAGTTTCTAAAATAGTCTTGCCTTCCTCAAGAATCTTATTCTTACACTTCTTGCTAGTTCGAACAGGACTAGAGCTCACGTGGGCTTTAGATATATATTGCCTGTGCTTCTTTTCCTCATGACAGGGGATTCCTTGGCCAGCTGGGGAATATTAGCAAGTAATTGCCACTGAGTAGCAAATAATAGGGTTCTTAGGCCTTACCTTAGAAATCAAAAGTACTTTATAATTTTCTTCAGCTGACCAGAACCTCATTGTTTCAGATGGCTGACACTCTGCATGCAGGGACACTGAAACTGTTTGCTAAGTTATGCCATAGAATAGGAAATGACAGCCCAATGTTCAGGTGTTAACTTCACCACAAAGCAACCAAGGGTTGAAGTTTCACAGGACCCTGGATCACAGCAGAAGCTGAGTGGGACTCAGGAAGCCTGCCTTAGCTGTTAGTGTGCAGTTTTCCTTGGAGATGGGCCATCCTCACACTGGGCCTGCCTGCCCTCCCGGCCTTCCTGTCCCTGCTCTCCATTCCTAACTGGCCTAGGGCGCCTTGGATGGATCTCTTGCCATTTCCTGCATTCTGCAGGAGCACTAATTGAAAATTTGGGTGGCCTTGCTTATTTATTTTCCAGGAATGCAGTGGGTTATTTTCATGGCATTTTCTCAGCAGTGCAGTGTTTCAAACTACAACAATGAGAAGAAAAATACAGTCTCTGTCAGCATGCAGACACACAGCAGAACACTGCACCAAGCTTTGACTTTGGAGTCCTCAGTCTATAAATTGCAACTAAATATAAGCCACTGGACATGGCTACTTCTTTCATGAAATTAAAGAGAAGTTACTTCCTCATAGAAAAGGAGCAAATACAGTGCTATGTTCAATCACTATGACAAGTAAAAGATAAATAGGAGAACTGAAGAATTCTGAAACAATTCAATAATCAATTCCTTTTTCTGAATCTTTATACAATGGACTAATTTTCTGCCCAGTTAGTATTTTTTAGAAAGCTACAAAAATAAAGCTTATTTCACTATACCGTAGCTCTGGAGTTATATACAAGTAACAGAATGCATATGGGGCATAAGGGTTTTTCTTTAGGAATATGTGAGCTAACAGTGAACTTCTAATTTTCTCAAGATGCTAACCCATGTTGTTCTAATAATCTGTCATGACTGTAAATTTAGTATGCCCAACATGCAAAGAGGACTCTATTTCAATGCACTTATATAAAAACATAATTTTGGCAAAAAATAGATTTATACACTTGGCTTAGAGTATTCATACTTTAGAAAGGACTTTTGATTTCACCCTAGATGTGTGCACCTTTGATTTCTAAACTAAAAAAATGCTGAGAAAAAAAATGACAATTGACACATTTTGTGTGAAATATGTTAAAAAAATTTTAGAGTGTCTGAAATATTTACATGTGTTTAAAAGATTTAATTGCCAAAGATGATTATTTTAATTGAATTAATTTTATTGAAAGAGTACTAATTCAAGGGCAAGTCAATTTCCATTTTTATATTTTTAAAAGGGGCGGGACCTTGTTAATTTTCTTAATGCAGATGTGTTCCAAATACTTAGCTGCCATTGGTGTAATTGATGGGCTTGCTAAGGGTACATCAATTTTTCTCAAAATGGAAAATAAGTTCCTTTGTGGAGCAAATGGTTGCTATGCTTATGAACTGAAAGTAAACCTTAAACACCACCAGTCCTTCCATGTGTATATATGAAAATAGAACAATAAAACCTGAGGAATTTGTTCTGAGAAGGTGATGAAGGGAAAAAGGAGAAGAGGAGAATGAGATTGCCTAGGGCAAATTGTGTGCTAATGTGGAAGTTGCACATTGAAACTAGTGTCAATGTATGCTAATAAAATTATTAAATGTATAATTAATATATGCTAACAAAAATAATCTCTTGAAATAAACCCACTGGTCCTTTTTATAGTTTGGGCAACTGTAGGAGAATAAAACACAAAACACAAGACTTTATCTGTACCTTTTAACCAAAATGTTTATGTTACTTAAGGAGTTTTTTACTTTTTTTAGTAAACACTAAGCTATCAAAAAATCTTGCATAAAAATAAGTACATAAATGTATCTGACTTCTTGAGTGGAAAAAACTTACTAATGCTTTATTGGAATTCATATATGGGATTTCTTCTAAATATAGTTTTCTTTCTTTTCCTTTACTAAGGAGAACTGGAGGTTGAACCCAGAGTCTTAAGCATGTTAAACAATTTAATTAGCTACACTTGCATACCTTGTCTTAAAAATTAAAGATATTAATGGAAAAAAATCTGCAAGTATTGTCTAGCTGAAATACAAATTTTCATATAAATATGCAAGATAAATAAAAACTAATAGCTTTTCCCATGATACTGGTTATATATTTGAAAGTTGCTATATTATCTTGGTAACAATGCATGTTTATATAGCTCTTCATAGACTACAAAAGTATTTTAAAACATCTAATTCATTTCATAATTCTGTAATTTGTTTAAAAGGCATGTTAAATTCAATAGAAAAATACATAAAGTAAAACTGTGTTTTTGAAAGCATGTACATAGTAAAAGAATTAAATCTGAAAAATAGGAAATATGTTGCAATTTAAATAAAGAAGATACTGAATCTTGAATGGATATACTTAATATTTAATGCAGAAAAGAAGTTAAAAAAACCTTCATTCATATTGCAAATGTATTTTATTTAACAGTTTTTATTTGGCCTTTTAAAAATAAAAAGTTAAAAGCAAATTACATTGCTGTAACTGCTTCTGTTTTCCTGTTAGTGGGCTGGCCTCTAGAGGGCTGGCTCTCTTTTGCTTTGTTATGTTAAGTAAATAAATGGCACCTAGGTAATTGTCCATTTGTATGCCTTGGCTTTTGTAGGAAGTCTGAACAGATAAAGGCCTGTTTTACCACTTACACAAAGCCTCCAAAATATGTTCATTTTTAATATTTCTTACTATCATATCCACTTTCAAAGATCTAGAATGTATTTCAAAGAAATGTATTTCATAGAAAAACAACAACAAAATCACTTATTTTGACTTACCCTATCTCCTGAGTTGAGCCAAGAGCTGCCATTTCATGTAAACAAGCAAGTGTGACATCAGAGTATATTTTATAATTTGTGCACCAACAAAACTCATTGCTAAATTAGTCATTGACCAGAATTTCAAAATTATGCCTGATAGAAATGCAAAGTTAAGGCTGGAGAATTTATATTACAGAGGACAGTCACCATCTGCAGAAGGCAGAGAAGGGACTGGGTTGCCAAATAGTATATAGAAAACAAAACACAAATTATACCGACATCAAATACAGTGAAAGCAGGGGACAAAACACAAAAGCCGAAGTACGAACGATCTTCCCATCTTCGCTCGCTCTTGAAATGTAATGACTTAGACAGAAAGCTTGAATGTATGTACAATGTTGGATAATAAAATTATTGGATTTCTGTATCAGCTTTCTACATCTGATATGTAACTGTAAACAGTGACAACTCACCTGATATGGATTAGTTTATCCAAAGCATAAAACAAAATAAACCAGGTTTCTGATTTCTTTTTCTTGTGAAAGTAAATTGGTCCTTCGGAGTCCTTTCTCATAAGAGAGGCAAAAAAAGGTAATATAGGCAAGAGAGCAAGGAACCTGACAGACATCCATAGCCATTGATCGGGTAGTTCAGACTGTCAACTCCCTTCCAGATAGAGAAGAGGCCTGGTGTCCAGCCCTCCCTAGCAAAATTCTCCAGTTATACACTCCTTAGTAATCTGAATTGCTGCTGAAGGCAGAGTGCCAGTGAACAATCTTTCTATGATGAGTGGTTCAGCCACAAAAAACAAATGTGTTAATCAGAGAATTTTCAAAAAAAAATTAGAACACCACTGTCAGCATTATTTTTACATGGAATTGTGTTGAAGACCTTAATTTACAGAAAAGACCCAGGAGATGTGGGGAAATAAACATTTAAACTGCTTGATGAAACAGGATGATGCAAGGTGGCTAAAATAAGTAAGCAATATAGAATCTAAACACTCAAAGGCCTTGAGTCCCACAGCCGCTTCCCTCATAGTTCCTGGCATAGATGGTCAGAACTAATTTCTAGTAGTACTATCCTCACTTACCCTTTCCAAGTCTTTTGATGAACACCTAACTCTAAATGCAGCTTAATTTTTCAATATTTTCTTTGTAGTATGTGGAATGCATGTGCGTGTGAGTCTGGATGTGTATGCATCTGCATCTGCATGTGTATGTGTATGTGGATATGCATTGTATGGAGGCATTGCTGAGGTTCTATGCATATGTGTGGATATACATGTGCACATGTGCATGTGGACATGTATGCACTTACCTATTGAATATGTGTCTATATGGGTATATATGTGAACACGTGTATATATTTGTTTGCATGTGTGTGTGTGTGTGTGTGTGTGTGTGTGTGTGTGTGTGTGAGCAATGATGGATTCCTGTTACTGATCAAGAAAAACACTATTCAAAGAAAAAAAGAAGGAAAGAAGGGAGAGAGTAAGAGAGGGATGAAGAGATGAAGGGAGGAGAAGAGCAAGGAACTCATGGTCTGTTGACTCAACTTTTCTGTCTACCCCCACTTTTTTGTTTTGTTTTCTAACAATTTTTGCCCCTTTATATTAAAATAGGACGTGTAAAATATTCAGTCCCTATGAATTGAAAGTAAATCTCTATGAACTAATAAGAAATTGATAGTCTACATCTCACCCATGGACTGAAGCACTTGCTTTAGCCTTGCCTAGTGCTCCCGTCTACTCACTGTCCCTGGGCTGTAGACATCCTGCACTGGCTGTTAGCATCTCAGTGTGCATTATGCTTACCATGGTAGTAGTGAACTTGAGGGGAATGAGGGAAACCAGCAAACAAAAAATAGGTGAAGATTTTAACATCTGGGATTCCCGGAGATTTGAAAATATTAAGGATATCCAAGTTTTTATCAGAAATTGACAGGTCTTATTAATTATGAATATTAACAGCAATAATGTTAATATCTGAAGTATTACAGATATGTTGAGAGACAATAAGTGAGTATAAATTCACTGATCAAGATTGATAAATTGTTTTATTTTGTTATTTCATACTTGAATAAACTTATTGCTAAGAATTTGTAGAAGGATAACTTATTAAATGCTGTATTGTTACTTCACAAAATGCTTCTACAATGTAGAAACATTCTTAATCCCTCTTAAGAAATATAAAGGCTTTTAGGTTTATAAAAGTTAATTTGATGTTATTCATTTAGATGCTAAGAAAATA